TCCTGGGGTGGACCAGCAAAAAGGTGAAGTGTATTTTAAGTTTTCCTCACGACTGTTTTCTGATCAGATTAATTTTTTCTTTCCAGACACTTTCTTAACATCAAATTAATAAATTATTTAACCATAAAAGCTATTTTCTATACATATACAAATGTACCCCCAAATGCGCGCGCACACATGCAGATGCGCGCACACACACATACACACACACACACACACACACATTCTTTTTTTTCTCTTATATACCAATCTATAACTTGATGTCTTTACTTAAAATATATCATGGTCATAATTCCATGATGTCTTTCTTATTCTTTGTAAGGGCTGCAAAGTATTGCATTATATAGCTGTATGATATTAAACCAGTCCCTTACTAACAGACATTTAAATTGATTATAGTTTTCTGCTAAACAAAAAGTGCTTCAATAAAATACCCTTATTTTATACCACATTTCATAAACTCTGACACTATCAAATTTAGGAAACAACATTATTTTGTAGGCCACCAAGAAAGAAAAAGAATATTACCAATTCGACTATGACATGACATCCTATAAAAAGAAATGTGTATCTTAAAATCAACAAAATATAGCATATCTTTGAGTTTATCTATAGGATAAACTCCTAGAAATAGGATTGCTTTATAACGGAGTATGCACATTGAGACTTGATAGTATCAACCTGACCTTTTAAAAGGCTGTACCAGTTTATATTCCCACCAACAGTATGTAAGATCTGTTTTTCTGATCTGAATATGTTCAATCTTCAGATACATTACTAATTGGATAGGTGAAAAATATATGTCATTATTGATCTGATTTGCATTTCTTTATGAGTGAAGCTAATCACCTTTTCATATGTCTACTAGCCAGTTTGTTCAAATGCCTATGCTAATTTTCCAAAAGATTATTTTGGTTTTTCTTACTGATTTTCAAGACAATTAAGAATATTCATTTTCTTAATGTGTATTATAGAAACTATCTGGTTGCCATTTATTTATTTTAATTTCAAGATACATTTTTGTAGATTTGATCTCGACAGGATCCTATGGTATTCTGTTTCATGAAGAATTAAATGGGGGTGACCTAAACTAAATGCAAATATATTATTTTGGAAACCTTGAAGACAACAGTTCAAAATAAGCCTAAAGTAATGCCACATGTAAATATGTAAAGGTTTTAAATCTTCAGCTTAAATATATAATTACATTCAATTAAATGATCTCTGCAGAGATCTACTAAAGGTAGAGTTTCATTGTGGGTAAACAGCATTCAGGTAGAGAAGGCTTTCACTCTATAAGGGTGTGATGTAAAATTAGGACAAGCATAATTGACTCGACTTGCTTTCGAGAAGGGATGGATTGATAGGGGCTGTCAAGAGCCTTGTGTAGAGAAGGGTATTGGGGCCACAGAAAAATGGACTGAGATAGATGAGGCTTTAAGGGAAAGGAGAGAGTCCCTTTGAAACCCTGCTCTAGGCAGTAGATGGGCATCTTGGTTTGCCCCCTCATCAGTAGGCTCAGCTCTAAGGCTTATTTCAGGACATTTTTTTTTTTTAAGCAAGACCTATTTCATTAAATTCTACTTTCTAATTTCAAGTAACTTAACATCTGACAAGAGCAAAGCTAAAACATAAACTTATATATTGAGTACTCTCATCATCCCTCATCTCTTTGCTGTATTCCATCCTAGCCTGGGCTTCTGACCAATACACCCTGCTCTCTGAAGCCCTCTTGTCTGCTCCTTTGCCCCAGGACCAAGGTCACAGTTTTCACTTAGTGAAAGGATGCCACTGCATTACACCGTGACCCCTTGTTCAACATCTAGGAAGTTTACACGGCATTAGCATTTTATAAACCATCTTTTAACTTCTCAATGATGACATTTTTTCAGCATTTAGAAAAATAAATGGCTAAACAGAATATTTTTTAAATAAATTTTATTTTATTTCTGAGTATAAAAGTGGTATATACTTAAATAAAATTTATTTTATTTCTGAGTATAAAAGTGGTAATTTTTTTAAAATAAAGTTTATTTTATTTCTGAGTATAAAAGTGGTATATACTTAGAAAAATAAATTGCTAAACAGAATATTTTTTTAAATAAAGTTTATTTTATTTCTGAGTATAAAAGTAGTATAGAACTTTTTAAAAACTTAAGTCAGAAATAAAAGGAAAGAAAAAATTTATTTGTAATTCCTCTACCTAAAGCCAACAGTTCTGTAAACTAAATATTTTAGTACAGTTCCTTTTATTTATTCAACAGGAAAATTTTCAAATATGCTTGTAGCAAGTTTCTTCAAATTGAATTTTACAAGTAAATTCTTTCTGTTGCCACCTCTTTAAAATTCTTCAAAAAGTACAACCAACTCATTACATTATATGGTCATGAGGAAAAAGAGGGAAGGAAACTAATAAATTTTTATTGCCACTCTGTATGGACCTGTTCCAGGTACTAAGTGGATATTCTTGTTAAATTAAAAAAAAAAAATACAAAAACCCTTTTAAAAGTATTACTATTTTCAATTTATAGAGACTATAAGTCAGAAATACTTAAATAACATGTCTAAGGTCACAAAATTCAAAAGTTGCACTGAGATTTAAGCTCAGATTTACCTGACTGCAAAGTGACTTGTATTACTCTATAATAAATACAACTGTAGCATTATTGTACAAGGGACATTTTTGTATTTGGACATCTATTTGTAACACATACCAAGTGTATTAAAAAGATTATACTTCTAAACTTTGCAATTTAAAATTAAGTCTCTAATAAATTATAGGATAAAAAATTAAACAGTACAAAGGAACCATATTATTTGAAATAGAACATAAAAGTAGTTCTAGCATGGGCTAGACTAAAGCCTATTACTGCAAGTGGGCATTAACTATGAGCACAGAAAAACAAAGGATTTGGGAAAGGGAAACTTTGATCAGTTCTAATTACACTATTCTTCAGAAAAACTATAATATGGGTTATATAGAAAAGACCGTTATAAACCAAACAAAACATCTTTGCCTGCATTTGTCTTAACTTTGAATTCCCTGAAGCTGATTATATAGAAGGTCAATGTATTTCCACAACCCAAAGAGAAATCTAGGAACATTTTTTTTCATATTTACCTCCACTTACTCTCTTATGTATGTCTCTACATCTGCACGCGTGCGCGTGCGCGTGCGCGCGCACACACACACACACACACACACACACACACACAGCTACACTATAAGTTTTTTTTAAACCATTTTCTT